CGAAGATACTGAAGATATCGAATCCCCAAGAACTAGGAAAGAGAGTAAAAGGGGCAGTAAAAGGAAAAGAGAAGAAGAGAATGATGACGAAAGGGCCGAGGAGCTAGTGTGTTCTATCAAGGAACAAAGTAAAGACATGAAGACGTTTATGGACAGTTTCAGTAAAATTCAAGAACAACAAGCTAATACAATGAACATGCTAGCGGGAGCGTTGACCGCATTTCTACAAAACTCTACCAAGTGAGAGAACTATCAAGTGAGTGAACGTGTTTTTAATATAGTTACTGTTGAAATGGACAACATTTCTATGTTGAGACTGACATTTCATTGAATATATAATATATGCACTCTATAAACAAGAAACTGATTGAATGATTATATTTTGCCGACATTTCTTTCTACGCAATTTCAATGTCAATGTACACGACTTAAGACTAGTAACAATAAAATTATTATCATGTGATGTTTATGGAAAATTCATAAATAATCTTTTAAATGTTCTCGTACAGAATCGCCATCACCAATTACGTTCTGTTGTGCCGCTGATGGTGATTCTTCGCCCTCATCGTCTTCTTCTTCCCATTCGTCTCCGTTTCTAATGCAAAWATTAGGTAGTACAGCACATGCATGAGTGCACCTAATATATATATAACAGCGAACTGTATATTACTGTCAAAACGTTTTTGGAGAATACGCCATCGATTTTTAAGCATGCCGAACGCACACTCAATAACAACGCGTGCAGAGGATAACTCTTTATTAAATCTTATCTCTGCTGGGTCTCGTGTTCCCTCTGGGTATGGTTTAATAAGCCAAGGACAAAGCGGATAAGCACTATCTCCAACTAGATAGGGTCCTACATTGTAACCATTGATATCAACTGTTGGTAGAGTAAGAAAATTCCCTTGCTCTGCCAAGTTAAATACATTGCTTCGCCTAATGACTCTAGCATCRTGCATACTGCCAGGAAAGCCACAGGCAAAATCGAGAAATAACTTTTTGTTGTTTGAAATTGCTTGAATTATGAAGTCATGTTGCTGATATCTGCTAAAATCCGTTGCATCTTCAATTGGTGCTTTTATTCGGACCGTCAATAGCGCCAACAACGTTTGGTAAATCGGTCAAGTCCGAGAAGGTTTGTGTTTCATTCTCGACTTCAGCGAGCGTTTGGGGTAATTTTATGTGCTGCTGACGAATTTCATAAAGGGCCTCCACAACATCTTGTACTGCTTCAATTACAGTAGATTTTCCGACATTGAAAACTGGACCAATAGTAGAATACGTCGAGTTTCCATGAGCTAATCTGTATAGTCCTAAAGCTAGTATTTTTTAACGCCGTAAACAATTTCTGAATTTTGAGTTCTACCTGTTT